TGGGAATGTTGGCATTCCACGTCCAAAATGCTTGGGGCTGGAAGTATCCCAGGCCTGTGGATAAAGCTATAAAGAAGGACTGCCTGCTAACGTGTCAGCTGCCCTGCAGAATGCTTGCATTGCCAAGGCTGAATGTGGAGTTACTACAAATGCCAGCTCAGAGCACATAGTGGGCAAAGGATGTGTGTACTTAGAAAGAGGTGGTGGAGATTTATTTTGCAAAGAAACCAAACCTCTGAGGTGAGGGAAGAATTATCACATTTTAACTTCTTATTCTTTTGGATCTTCCAAGCTTCTGGAGTGGATTCCAAAGCTTTTTATAGTAGCAGGGTTTTTTTTTTTTTTTTTTTTTTTTTTTTTTTGGTTCATGCTTTATTGTAATTTGTCTTTAGAAGAGGGAGGAAAATGGTTAGTAAAGTCCAGAGAAAATGAACAAGAAAATAATGCTCTTTTGCCTTTAAGTGAACTGCTGGGGAGTGATTCATTACATCCAAGACCGTAATACTGTGTAGCAGAAAAGCATCAGAGGAGGAGACATTTGTCAGGATTAAGCTGGCAAAGTTGGGAGGACAAGGAGGGGGATAGTGCTGCTTCCCCATGCTTCCCCAGAGGAAAGAGAAGAGGTCTAATTTAAGCAGCCTATGATCTGTGGTTAAGATATGCCAGTCTCAGACTCCTAAAGCCTAGATTTTTTTTCCCTATTGTTTTTATCAAAGTTGATGCTAAATACTTGTTCTTGATAATGGGAAAACTGGACTTCTTTTGGTGCTCATCTTAAGCTGTGATATTTGAACTATTAATACAGACGTTTGAATGTGTTTGATCTCTTGACTGTTTAAGTATTTCAGGAGGTTTTCTGGAGCTAATTTTCAAGTCATTAGAGACATGTCACACATGAACCAAGAAGCCTAAGTTGAATTTGGATCATCACATATCACATACTGTTAAAGCACTGAGTCTTGTATGGTTTTTCCAAATGCTTTGTCTTGATCTATCTCAAACCCATGAGTATGAGAAGCAGGGATCGACCAGCCTCTTTAATCAAGATGATTTTACATAAAAAAAGCACTTTTTTTAGGGGGAGTCCTCTTGCAAAGTAAAGAGGAAGATCGACCAGCCTCTTTAATCAAGATTTTACATAAAAAAAAGCAGTTGGAGGGGAGTCCTCTTGCAAAGTAAAGAGGAGGTTAAAATAATAGTCATGGAGTCCAGGGGGAGGTTTGCAGCAGAGCACGGAGGGGCCGTACCAAGCAGCTTTACAGCGCTCCGTACAGAGCCCATGTGGTTCCCCTGGCGCCACCGCCCTGGGCAGCACCTGAAACAGTGAGTGGGGCTCAGAAACCTCCACAGCTTGGGCCTCGGTGCCTGGAAAAGGCCGATGCAGGCACAAACAGAAACCCTTCAAATATGCAAGTGCCCCATTAGCTGCATTCCCCCTCTCCCAGACCCCCAGCAGGCTGTAAAACATTTGCTTCTGAATGTCACCAAAGAGTAGTTCAAGGCAGCTTTAGGACAGTTAGTGTTTTGGATACATTGCCAACATAAGTCAAGACCATTGGCACCCTGTCCCTTATTAAAAATGAATCCAAATTAACAAAACTGAATGAGGCTGTCCACTAACCCAGCCTAGTAGGGCAGATACTTGCATGAATTCAAGAATTCATTTTCTCTCACTCATATAAACTAAATGAGAAAGGGTAAATATAATGCAAAATAGAATCTGTTTTTTGTTTAAAGAAAGAAAAAAAAGGATGTAAGAGAGCAGAAGATACCTATATGCAACACTTCCTCCTTGTTTATGCCCTTCAATTAGATGCCTTCGTGTCCCTTTCTGTATGGTCTGTGGCTTGCATTTTTGTCTAGCTGAGGCTATTTTTAATGTCACTGCATGAAAGCCAGGCTGGTTCTGTGAAAGGCCACGATATCCTGAGGAGTGGTGCACTCTGGGCCTTTCTGCTCCTCTGTGAGCTAGCGCTTCTGCTTCCTCCCTTGAAAAGCAGCTGCGAACTCCAAAGCTTGCAACTGCTTATCTAGAGCAGGAGCCAAAAACCTTTCCCACTAACTACCCACCTCACTCTGCCTGTTTGTTGCACTCTGTAGATGCTTGGAAAAGTGCTTCATAAAATGGAATCAGCAATGAATCTTAAAAGCAGATTAAACATTTTTGTGACCATTCTGATGCTAATTATGGTTCTCCTAGCCTGACTAAAATCAAGAGGCGCCTTTGTGGTATGGCTGCTGCCAAGGCATGAAGCTGTGTGTGGAAAATTATATATTTATTTTCCAGCTTCAGCATAGGTCAAGGTTTTGTTTAAGAGTTGGCCAAGGGCACTTGCTCATTTAGTGGTTGCTTTTTTTAACCCTGTGCTGAGTTGCAGCGGAGTTAGTTAAGCGGTTGTGCTCGTTGCAGGTGCATGTCAAGCTGCTCCCTTGGCCCCTGCTGGCCCCAGTGCTCCTGGGTTGTGAGCAGGGTTGGTGTTCTGTCAGCATGGTGCAGCTGGAGAGCTCTGCGCTACTGGGAATTTAAGGCACGCCAGCCACGTGTGAGGTAGCTCTCCGAGTGCAGTAAGTTGCCCTGCACAAAAGATAAATAAATAAAACGTCCTCACACGGAATTAATGGGGAGCAGCTACTGTGCTGTACACCCTACACCAGTTTACTGCGTGCCGGCTTCCCTAGGATGAAACACTGGGCTTTGCAAGTGGTAAATTCCATCTGTAACAATAAATGCACTGCAAAATGCATGCACCAAACTGTAACTTGGGGCTGAATTTTGGACTTGTGTCTTGAAAGCTTTTGTCTGATTCTAGGAATGTCTAAGGTGCTAACTTGATGTATTTTTTTTCCTTTGTCCTAGACAAGCACTTGCTGCTGTTAAGACTTGGAGATGGGTTCAGCTTGGCCATAGCCGCGTTCCTGCTGTGCCACATCCTGATCTGCAGGATGACCTCACAGCTTGAGCACCCGCTTGTTAGAGGTGAGAGAGACATGAGTCTGAATGCTCCTGTTTGCAGGGATGGTGCTTGGCCTGGGCATTGGTGTGGGGTGAGTGGGCCACAGCAATGATGAGGAGTGCTCGCAGTCTCTTGGTTGAAGCTGTTTCTCTTTATGTAAGCCAAGAGTTTGTTGGCATGAGTAGTGAGCTCTAGACCTCCTAGGCAGCTGCTGTGCTGGTATCTGGGTTTCAGCCTTGCAGCTGGAAGATAATGTGGACTGATCTCTCAGGATAGATTTTGGTTAGTGAAGTGAATCTTAAATGAGCTGCTCTAAGGATATCCATGAATATCTTTCACCCCTGCTTTTCTAACATAGCTGTTATTTTGAAACATATAAACCTGGAAGCTAAAGAACTATAGCAGAGAACTAGAGGACATTGCATGTGCACTTTCCCTTGCTCTAGTTACGTTTGTCTGGAGACCACTGCCTCTCTGTAAGCAGATCTGAGTGTGAGTCTTTGTGCAGAAGATGATCCATGATTACCTGACAGAGGAAAGCCGTTTCCCCCTTCCAGACTACAGCTTTCATCCTTCTGTCTTTCAGTACATCAAATCTAAAACGGAGACTGAGAAATCCAGTCTTTATAACTCAGGAAATTCCCAAACTGGAAGTTCTTAGAGCAAGATGTTAACTTTGCTGCCCTGCATATCCTGTACACTTCTTTGGGTAAGTAAGTAAACAGAGAGTAATACGCTACAGTGGCAAGGAAAACAGGAACAGCGAACTCTGCATATGCACAATTTGGCAGAGTTAATGTTAATGTAGAAACTTAAACTTCTGGTATTTGCTGATATCCAAGGATTTTATTTCTCATCCTTAACACTGTTGCTGTGTTTTTTCCCTACCACATAGATTGTAAATAAATGCCAAGTAAGTTTTGGAAAGTAGTTTCAAAAAAGAAAGCAGAGTTCATGACAACTTTCCTGTGTAAATACCACTTTAGAAAATGCCAGCTCCTCAGAAATATTTGAGGAACTTAAAGATGCTGTGGAATTAGCTAACCCTCTCTTGTCACTTAACCCCTTTTAGAGCTCTAATCCTGGGTAATTTAGTAGCCTAACTGTCATGAGTATGGCAGGCTTGACGCTGTCTACTCCTGTTTGTTTGTTTATTTATTTATTTAATAGGCAAACATTTGTCCATCTCTAGCTTTGTGAGACTGTCTTAGTGACCGTTCAGCTTTGTAAAGTCCTGCATCCAGATTTTTATGCCCTTCTGCTACAGCTGGTATCAAGTAAAACATTTTTATGTTTGCAACACTATTTAGAAAAACAAGTATTACTATAACTTGCTAGTTGCAATGCTAGTGTTCTGAACACCAGAGCACTGAATGCAGCACAGCAGCTGTTATATATTCAAGGGTGAAATTCCAATAGTAGTATGCTATATAATCTCTGGATAAATATTTATGCTTGTGAAGGTTAAGTGACTTGGAATACTATAAACTCCAGCCTTTTGGGCAGGCAACTGCAATTTAAGATTTCTCACAGTGACCTACCCATGACCTCTCTGCTGGTCTGGAGGCAGAGTTATTGGTGGGTGAGTCCTGCGGCCTCTGCTGAGCAATAAATCATCGCATAGGGCCCATCAGATGTTTCTAGATCCCAACTAGGTATCTCAGAACCACTTCTCATCTTAAATATTGCTTAAATTTACTTGAAACTGCTCACATGGCTGCATTCAGAAACCCCTCAGGATGTGGTTTCAACATTGCTCAGACAGAATCTCTAGGCTCCTGGTGTTTCATTCATCTGTAGTTGGGGAGCTTCTAGTCATCCTTCAGGAGTTCATTTGCTACTTTGAAGCACTGAAGAATAACTCGACTCATGCCTGCCTTCTGCTGAAATAACAAAATGCAGCCTTGGCCTTTCTGAAGCGAGCCGTCCTAAAGCAGGGCTCTGTTGACTTGATTCTTACTTGCCTAAGGGAAATGGATCACCAAAACTATATCTTGAAGTATCTCTCCATTTTGGAGAGTATCTACCTTTTTGGCACTCTCTATTTCTATGCCATTCCATCATTGTTGGTAGCTATTGTCAATACTTATTATGCTTGGAGCGAGAACATTATCAGCAGGTTTATGGCTTGCTAACGCCATATTGAGGAATGTTTATTTTATCTGGCAGTTGACATCTAGAAGAATGCCTTTAAGACAACAGTGTACATTTCAGTCTGAGGAACTCATTAATAATACTTTAATCCACAGGAGTGTTAGGTTTTATTTTGCTTTACTCGGCACTGGGAGATTTTTTTTCCTGACTTGTCCTCTCTGAACTTGTCGAGCACGAGTTCCAAATCCCAAAGACTGCATGGATTCTGCTAAGTACTTCTGGTCAGGAGAGATACACAGCATCACCAGCAATTTAGCATCACCTCCTAAAAGAAAAAAGAAAAAAGTCACCCATTATTTTCAGCAAATTATGAACAGATCATGTACTGATTTAAAGGCAGCATAGGCTGCCATTACCTTGAGAAGCAGAAGACTGTATACAAAAAAACCCCACTGAAAACAGACAGCTGCTTGGAGGGCAGCCTGTATCTAAAAATATGATTGCTTCCCCAGTAGCAGAATAAATATTTCACGATTTGAAACAGAATTTGTTCTTCCTCCAGCTTCATCAGTTAGTCTGCATGTATATTATGGGTCTGGACACCTCACTGAGCTTTGTCAGATGTTTACAAATTCAGGGTGAAGGCAAAATGGCTCTTTTGTGTGCCCACACAGCAGAATGGATTTATTTAAAGTTTACAGTGTTTAAGTGAACATTAAATTGCCATTTTAGGCATTGCACCTAAACAGTGTCCCACGTCACATGCCAAGAATGATTAAAAACAGCCTTGTTGTGCATATAACCCAGCTCTTAGACTTGCTGTGCTGGCTTCCGCCTTTCACAGCACTCCCTCCAGCACTAGGGGAAATCAGAAGGTCAAGTACAAATGAATAGTCTTCTTCTGAAATTCTGAGGCGCTGTTAACTCAGTTACCACCACTACCTTAAACTGGAGACTTCCGGAACTAAAAACTTAGCAGCTGATTTGTTATGACTGAAGGAAAGAATAAACTAGTGTAATGTACTGTATGGACTTGACACAAACCCAAATTACCACGGAGGTTACTTGCGATAAAGCTATTTCTGTGTAGATTAACAGTTAAAGAAGAAGTGACCTGAACATGCAGAGAGGCTGTAGTAGATGGCCATGCAGGTGCACTGGAGTCTGCTTTCTTGGTCTTGATAGGAGTCCTATAGCAGCAAGAGATTTGCAAGTACCTGACTGGATCCTGTACTAATTAAGATGGAAGCTTAACCTGTACATAACATGGAACAGCAGTGAAGTGCAATCACTAGCCTCACACTGCATTATTGGAGATGTTGTGGTTATTCCAAGTGTATTAATAAACTGAACCTTGGAACCATTGAGACTTGGCAACATTCAGGAATTGTTCAGAACTCACACTGTGTTCTCACACATCTGTGTACTTGCACTGCTCCAAAGCTAGACTCCTTCAACAAAGGCCTGTATACAAAGGAAATGTGTCAACACAAGCTCATTGTTTACTTTTACCCTACGAAAGAGGGGGAAGGTTGGGAAAAGAGGCTATTTTATGTTAAATGAAAACCAGAACGATTGCTTACCTACAGCATCCTGGAGCAGATGGGTCAGTTTGCTGTTGCGGTACGGGACGTGGGGTCGCTGCTCCGCTATGGCTGCAAGGACATCGGCCAGGGCAGACAGGCTGCGGTTAATGAACGACGTCTCTCTCAGGGCTGCGCCTGTCACTCCAGACATACCTAAGGCAATGGTAAGAAAGACTAAGCAGAGCCACTTTGACTACACTTTGTGAGAATTCTGTAGTGGCATCATCTACTTGGAGCACAGCATTTTAAAATATGTGTTCTGAAACATGACTTTTACCAGGGCAGATTAAAAGTAAAATGCAGTAGTTGTTTACTGCCCTGTTGCTGCCATTTGGGGAAGGGAAACTTACTGTTTGTATTTAGCATCACTTTATTTAAGTGCTACCTCTTCTTCGGGGTAGCAGAAGAGATACACATGCATCTGCAATCACATCTCATTACCAGAGCGCATAGCCAGGTTAGGCAGAGCTAATGCCAGGGTCATGATCAGAAGAGGCTACAGTTACCTTAAATTTCTTCTCTGCCACCTCGAGAAAGAGAGAAAGAAGCTGTACAGAGAGGGGCTAAATATCTTATTTTTCCCTTTAAGTTGGCATTTTCCAAACTGAGAGAACAAAAAAAAAGGTGTTTGCAGGGTAACTGAGAAGGCACAACAAGAAAAACGCAGAAGACAGTGAGGACTGGAAGAGTTTTACTGCGATGCAGAGGATGATTGGAATGACAGAGTCTCTTGGGAGAGTGGCACAGAGGAAAACAATTTGGAAAACCCTGCCCCAGGGTGGATAATAATGTGGAATAGGATGCATCTCAGACCAGCTTCCCTTGAGTCTGCATCTGCTGGCGGTCCCCAGGCTTCGTTTATAGCCAACGGAGAGAAGCAGGGATTCTAAGACAATGGATTTCCCCTTAAAGAAGAAAACTGCAAATGATGAAGGGGCACATGTTTAAATGGCAGACATCTGGCTGACCAGATGAACTTCCACAAAGCATTTAGCTGAGTTTTCAAGGTGAAAATGAGTTTTGCCAAGAAGTGGTCACTTAGCTTGTGAAAGGCATAAATGATCTAGAGGATGGCTGCAGAGCTGTTGAGAACGTTACCAGCCATTAACAAGGCAAGGTGCTGATGTACATTTAAAGTGTGTCCTGATGTACTGCTGCTCACTTACATTATAAAATGTAAAAACCAGCAGCTACCCTCAGTTTTATCAAAATAAGTCCAATTTCTTCAATTCTTCAGCAGTGTAGTCAATGGCAGTGTTTAGTCCATGCACAGGCTGGGTCACGTCTAACACTGGGGTGAGTGAGCACAGCTCTACTGGCCTCCCTGAGGATCCGGCCCACTGAGCCCAAACCAAGTATATATTTGACCTGGTTGAACTGAGAGAGCAAACACACACACACACACACAAACACACTATTGCTCAGTTCAGAAACAGCCAAACAGCTTCCAACACTCACAGCAAATGATAAAATAATGTTTCACATTATGCGTCTCCATAGAACAAAAGTTGAACAGTGAGTAGCAGCAAGAACTCCTGGCAGTAGTGTTAAAGACTCTTTCATAATAATGGTTCAGTTTTCAAAACATTTTTTCTGGAATGGTACGTTTCTCTGCATGGCTTTTCTTGGTAAGAAAACTTGTCCTTTAGGAAATAATCAAGTTTTTTAAATTATTGTTTGCACAGAGGAGGGGAAGGAAGAAAATGCTTTGAAGAAGCAATGAAAACAGTATTATCTTTTCAACACTAACTTCCTTTGAGATTTTTTCAACAATGAAGCAGAGAAACCCACACATAGGGATATCAATTATTACAAACATTTGTAAGATTTAAATAATCTACATACTTTGAACATTCCTATAAAAAACATGCTAATTTTCAGAGTAGAAAAACATACCTAAGAAAAGCAGTTTGAACAAAAATAAACCTATGTTATGGGTACCTGCCCTGGGCTTACTTAGACTAACGTAGTCTGATTTTCAGTTAGACTGCACCAGCAGTAAAAGGGCAACAATAAGGTACCAAAAATTCATTTATGTCAGAATCTGTGTGATTAAACCACTCTCTGTGCAAAAGTAGGTTAACACATATCCATATCCCTATGTAAAGGGCTAAAAACGTGCTTTACACCAGATCTTGGAAGATCCATGCCCATCATTCCAACCTGCATTTTTTTTCAGAAACAGACACATTCACTTACCCACACACTCACTACCAGCCAGGTCCACCAGCTGCAGTCTAGTTTTGATTTGCTTCAGTTTTTCAGTTGTTTCTGAAGAGGCTGGTGAAGAGGCTCTGGAGGAAAAGGTGGATTTATTTTCTCTTATTTTCTGTGGAACAGTGCAGGAAACCTCTTTATTTAGCTTCTGACTGGTTAGTTCATCTTCCCATGAAATACCTGGTTAGAGAAAACAAGACAAGGAGAGCTTCTTAGTGACACAGGAAATAATTGAGATGGCATCTATGTAGGGGAGCATGGTGTCTGCTGCTTCAGGATGTTCTAACAGGCAGAATCAATATATGAGTCAGAATCAATGATATGAGCAGGCTGAATCATCTAGTTTGAAACCTTGTCTGTCTTTCTTGCTTAAGGTTTTGCTCATCAGACTGATCATAGCAGTTGCTTAAAAGACATGATGTAGGTTGTGTTTTATCTGATGTTACTGATATACACACTTATAGCTGGAAAGTAAGAAACAGTAGACCATTAAGGACTTCAAAAAGGCATTTTTGGGGATTTTGCAAAAAGAGATTTTGCATTCTTAGGAGCAGTAAGCTCTGAATTCAACATAAGTTAGGTATTTCTATGGAATTTTGCTGCCAACCATACAAGGTTTCTATGGAATTTTGCTGCCAACCATGCAAGGTTGGTGTAGCAGGGTGAGAGCAAATAGCAATGCCAAAGGGAAGTCTGGACTAGAGAAGATGGCTGGTGTGGTAATGGTGCAAATGCCCCTTCTTTGGAAAGGTAACATCTGCCTGATTGACAAGAATCTGGACCTGGATAAAGCTAACATCTGGAATGCTAGAGTTGCAGCATGCACAATGGCTGTGTCTTTTGGCAGGGGCCGTAGGTAAATGAGGGCAGTGTTTGTTCTCTTTTGCTAATATTGCTGGTCTAATTTCCAATAGCAATCTGGAGAGAAAAAATGTTAAATGCTTTCCACTTTCTAAATCATGTTGTTGCTGCAGAATATGGAGGAAATAGACCACAGCACTGAAAAAGGAGAGTCTGATTACAACATGAGCAAAAGAAAGCAAAGTTAACCCCTCAGAAACCAAAGGTATTCCTAAAACAATAAACTGGTAAGTGTTGATGCAGTAATGAAAGAAACAAGCGAAGGACAAGTGTAATGTAGAAATACAAGTTTTGACATACTAAATAAAACCACTACGTTGTTTGTTCCTGCAGTGAATCAAGAGATTCTGAATCTAATGGAAGTATTGCAAAGTAGCAGATAAAAAGAATTCTTTTTCACTCATCAGCATATGCTGATTATCATATGCCCTAAAACACCAGCAACATTGGTTAGCTTTACCACAAACTTACCAAAAATAGTTAGATGATATGTCATACCAAGTGGTTTAACTACTGTATTGGAGTGCCTATCAGATGATGACTTAGTGATCAAGTTTTATAGCATGAAACAACTAATGAAATAAATTTTAAGAACTCCATAAGTCAAGACATGTAAAGAAAAGAAGTTAATACAAAAGGATCTAATAAAACCAGTAGCATTCTGAAATCAAACTGATAAGGTTTGTATAAAGCTATTTGAAAGGTTAAACAACAAAAGAACTGAAGGAATGGATTAAGCACTGGAAAAATGAAGAAAGAACAATCTTTCACTTCACAGACTGTGTTTCAAAAACAAATAGCTGTAGATATATTTTAGTAGCATCCTACTTACCGAAGTTATCTCCAGAGACAATTGTGGTTATGGTCAGTGTAACTACCAGATGAGAACGAGAGGAATGAGCGTGCACCAGCGTTGGGTTTCTGACTCTTAGCTGCAGGCCTTTGTTGACTAGATGCAAAAATTCGGATGCATTTTCAACAGTTCTAGGAAATAAAGAAACAAGGAGAAAGTTTAACTGATTCACAGTAAAAATGACATGAGAAAGCTGGCAACCTGGACATGAACTGATCATTTCCTCTTCCCCACTCTTCTAGCTCTTCATACTGTTCTCCACTATATGTGTACACTGCTCTCAGTTTTGAGTTGCACAGGCTCCTGTGTTAGCCTTTTTCTGGTAGGACATAGTCCAAGACGAAAATTGAAGGCAAAAGCTGAAAGTGATGAAGAAGTTGCCTATCAGCCTTGTAAGACTGTAGACAGAGTACCTCAACTCTGGGAGTGATTCAGCTCTCTATACTTTTGCGTATTAGAAAAAAAAAAGAAAAAAAAAAAAAGAAAAACTCAAATAGACACTCCTGAAATCTTTGGTCTTACAGAATTGTGGAATTTATCAGTTTATGTTATACAAGCACCTACATTTGGGGAGGTACAGAATTATGGGAAAAACAAAACAAAACAAACAAAAATTTCTCTGGGCATTTGGAAAGCGCAATTCACATTCAAAATTAATTCCAAAATCCTTGTGAAAATGTTCAGTTCTGTTGTTCAGTGAATAGAGATTCCAATACGGTGCCAGAATAGACAGGCATAAGTTTATATAGATCATTTTATATTATACTATCTGTTCTGTTTTTCAATTGAAGGAAATAATCCAAGTATGAGCAATTGAATGGCAAGACCCTGATATAGAAGATGAAATAAACTAAGGAAAAAACTTCTACCATTTTCCCCAGATTTTTGACCTAAAACAAATGAGGAAGATAGATTAGCAATTAAATGCTGTTCCTTACCCTTTCCTTTCACTGCACTGTCTCATTCAATAATCACTCAAGCTATACCACCAGGTATTTGTTTCTAGATGGGTATATAAATTATTATGAGTGCTCATTGCTGCCTGGTTGAGGATGCCCTGTGAGTCACCGGAGCCACTCACAGCCTTCCTGACACGCTGCCCACCGCAGACTTGATTCTGCACCACTGCAAGGCATGTGGTAAAAGTCAAGGCCTTTGTGACTTAGATTTGGCCAATTTCAATGAAAAAATCACACTGGGTGCAAATACATTACACAGTAAGAACAGATACACTTGAAGAGGTAAGAGAGAAAAAAAAAAGAGAGAGATACCCCATTGAAACAGTTTACTCTGAAAATAAAGCAAAGATATATATACCAAAGAAGGAGAATACACTTAGCTATATCATAAAGAAGCAACCACACAAACAATTCCCTGAGTAATCCATCAACACCATAAACAAGAGCTTCAGGAACTAAATGCTCCCTAGACTCAACCTGTCAGTCATGAGCCATGGGTACTTGCATCCCCTGCCATACCTCTGCCCCTGTACGCATGGTGACGGCCTCCCATCAGCCTCCTTGGCCCGGCACAAACACGGACGCAGCGGCCCCAGCAGCAGGCGTGGAGGGAAGCGGCCTCGCCAGCACGATGCTGCAGACGGGGACTCCTTAGCGGGCCTGATCTCTGGTATAATCCCCACTGCTGTATCTCCTAGCAGTGATTCTGGTATAATCCCCACTGCTGTGTCATGCTGTAGGTACCAGCACATCGAAAGAGAAGCCCCATTGTGCATAGTTAAAAATTTGATGCTGAAAGTTCTCCAAAGTCAACCAAGTCGTAAAAGAAGAAAGAAACAGAGGTTTTTGTGATTCACTAGGATGAGCACATTAACAGGAAAGAGACTACTGTATTTTACTGGGCATATGGAGAAAGCAATGAGACCCAGCAGGCCAATATATTCTGAGATGAAATATTATCACAAATGAGGATGTGTTTTTATTCAAAGCACCAGCTGTTTACTTTAGATTTCAGGCAGCTGGGTGGCCTCACTCAATGGTTCCATACTTTGTTTGGATTTGCTTTTTCTTATTAACCTTTCTGTATAATTACTAATATAACTAGCTTAGGAATTGGACTTTTTTCAGCTTGCATTGTAATTGAGATACATGTCCTTATTTTTGTGTATATTTGCATTGGAATTGAGTATTCATCAGTTGATTTAGATAAATGTTTTAAGAAGGTTCTTAGCTCAAGGCACAAGGTTCCTTTACCATACATTACAATTTACAGAAATAAACACAGCAGCCATTTTATGGACTAGAAGAACAAATCAAACCTTACTGCAGCTTCTGGCTCCTGTTTCTATGGCAGAGATCCCTGACAAATCTCACCTTTCTGTGTCTCACTGCCTAGGGAGAGATGGGTCACCTACTAACTCTGCAAAGCCTCCCTGGGGGTAAGCGTATTTCAGTAATGATCCAGGCCTGCAGTTTTTTTCACTGAGATTCTGTAACTAACTAAAGAATATGCAGCAGTTCTGAAAAGCAGAAAAAAAATTTCAACTCCTGTTGTACCCACACTGTATGCACCAAATTTTCATCTACTGAGTGAGTCATACAATTCCTTCCTTCCCGGGTCAAAAGAAAAGGATTAACTACTTCAGGAAGGGACCAGACAGGTTATGTTCTGCCCCCAGTCCCTTCTGAAGGAGTTTTTTCTTTCCCCTGATAATAAAGCCTAGAGAGGCTCTATCTATCCAAATGAACCAGGTGCCAAAAGTTACACTATAATCACAGCTAAGCAAATCCAAAATTACAGACTGAAACTCAACAAGCAGCATAGTACAGGCTGAAAGAGAGGAAAAGGTTTCTTCGTTTCAAACTCCAGTAATTTTTAATTAATTCCAGGCTCTTATGGGACATACAGAGTGCAAACAAGAATGCAGAATATGTCTGGAAATCACATTTAACCTCAAGTGTGAAGAGTAGACATAACCCAGAGAAAAATGTTTAACTCTTCTAGAGCAGTGTGGTGATTATTATTTCATAGAACGAAAGGAGAGTTTATCACCCAGCTGGTGAAGAAAGCCACTTTACAGTTTCTCTGGGGCTTCACTTTTTTCTATGAGCAGTTCAGTGGCTAGAAAACACAAGATAATAAATGCATATAACCGAGTAGAATAAAAGGATATTCATGCAACCCTCTAATACACTGTCATATTTTTATCACGGCTTTCTGGCAATAAGTTAAACCCACATAAACGAACTAAAACTAGTGGTTAGTGCTTATGTGATTCCACTGAGTGCATAGTTTTAATTCATGGCAGGGGCGGGGGGGGCACCTATCCAGTGCCACTAGAACTGCTTGTTTTAACCTGTTTTATTGATGTTATTTAGTATCAGCGTAAACATCACATCTGTTACTACAATTGAGTATCTGAAACAGACTTGCTCTTGTAAACGCATGAATTGTTAGGAGCTTGCTCCTAAAGAAACATGCTTTATATATAAAAAGAATGTATATACTTGCTCTGTACACTAGGCATATATAATGCCATTTCCATGAATACTAACAAGCCTTTGGGAAGCTTAGAAGCAGAGGAAGGCATTAAATAGTTACAGCTGTTGCTTGTAATTATTTCAGGCCGCCCTTCAACATGGAGATGTGTGTAAATAAGAATCACACCACACGCATGAGGGGACGGTGGGCGTCTAAGAGCTGAATGAGTAGAAGAGATATTGACCAGCCTTAGATTTTGAAGAACTTGGATTTTAAAGAACAACATGTCATAAAATGTCATTCTTTCTGCAACACCTTTTTTTAACCTCCGTGATTATA